CGGAAGAGCAGAAACATTGTCCTCTTTATTTTATTTAGCGGCTTTAATCGCATACACTAAATGCTGCAGAAGTAGAAGATCTACAGGTAAGATATTTAAAGATTTCTTCCTATTTTTATTTCCTGGCTGACTTTTATTATTGTATGTTACTATTAATGTTATTCATTGAAGTAAATACTAACTTTATTACATTTCTTTTTAGGATGGAAATCTTTCATATTATCTATGTCTTTTATTTTCACTGCCATGTTATGCAAAGAACAAGGAATAACAGTCACTGCTGTTTGTGTATTCTATGAGATTTTTGTTGTACAAAAGGTAAATGTATATGTAAACTTTTAATATTAAAGGTTTATTCAAATGTATATTTCTTATTACTTTTTTAGGTAAAAGCAATGGATATTTTCCTAACATTAAAGGCAGCTTTTGGTGGAAAAAAAATATCGCTTGCTTGGTCCAGTGAAGGTACAAAACGACTGACAGTTCTTACACTTGTCACTTTTAGTTTACTTATTCTTCGACTACATGTAATGGGCTCAAAATTACCTGTATTTACCAGGTATTTGTAAATTCTTACATGCATTATAAACATATAACGATTAAAAGATATTGAAATCAATATCTTGAATGAATCTTGTTTTTCTAAATATATCAGTAAAAGTCTAATAATGGAAAATATTTTAGGTTTGACAATCCCGCATCAGTGGCTCCAACGCCAATACGACAGCTTACTTATAATTACCTCGCAGCAGTTAATCTAAGGCTGCTTTTTCTTCCAAACGATTTATGCTGTGATTGGACTATGGGAACGATACCGTTGATAGAGGGTTTTACTGATCTTCGCAATCTTGCTACTATAGCAACTCATATGACCATAGTAGGATTGTTGATAACAGCAATTTTAACATCTAATAGACAAACTTCTATTATTCTCATAATGGTTAGTCAAATATATACTAGCTGTATCTTTTTGCTTGAACTAAAAGTATTATTATAAAAAAGTGATATTGACTATTTTGTATAGAGCTTGGCTATGATGATACTCCCATTCATACCTGCCTCAAATCTTTTCTTCCCAGTTGGATTCGTCATTGCCGAAAGAGTATTATATGCCCCTTCTATGGGATTTTGTATGCTTATTGGATATGGATGGAGTATTTTATGCGATAAAAAGTAAAGATTTTCGTAAAACATATTCTTGAACTCCCGAAATTGCTTCAGCTTATTTCTTGTTTATCTTCTTATATTTACAGGTTCAAGAAGTTGACGCTATTTTTATTAATAACACTTTTGGCTGCACATACAACGAAGACTTTCATCAGGAATTATGATTGGTTGGACGAATACTCCATATTTATGTCAGGATTAAAAGTGAATGATCGCAATGCTAAATTGTTTAATAATGTCGGACATGCTTTGGAAAGTCAAGGAAAATTCAAGGAAGCATTAAATTTCTTCAATAAGGCTGTTCAAGTTCAAGGCGATGATATTGGTGCACACATTAATGTGGGTAGGACTTACAATCATCTAAAGATGTTTAAAGAAGCTGAAGATGCATATCTAAAGGTAAATTCACGATTAAAATAATGTATCTATTAAAAATTATTTATTAATAAAATAGTATTATGTTCTATTAATATTTTTTTAGGCAAAATCTTTACTACCGAAAGCAAAACCTGGAGAGTCTTATCAAGCACGAGTAGCACCAAATCATTTGAATGTTTTTGTAAATTTAGCAAATCTAATAGCTAAAAATGCAACTAGGTTAGAGGAAGCTGACTTGCTTTATAGACAGGCTATTAGTATGCGCGCTGATTACACGCAAGCGTATATTAATCGAGGCGATGTTTTAATTAAACTTAATCGTACCAAAGAAGCCCAGGAAGTTTATGAACGAGCACTTTTCTACGATAGTAATAATCCAGATATTTATTATAACGTAAATATCGAGAATGAAATAACTAAATTAACAATGTTTAATAAAGGAATAAATTACTAATATAATAATAATTTCGTACTTAAAGCTTGGTGTCGTGTTTCTTGAACAAGGGAAGGCATCTCAAGCTTTAGCATATCTCGACAAGGCTCTTGAATTTGATCCAGAACATGAACAAGCATTACTAAATTCAGCCATTTTACTTCAAGAATTAGGGCGTGCAGAACTACGAAAAGTGGCTAGAGAAAGACTTTTAAAACTTTTACGAAAAGTATTCTTTTTTATATTTATTTAAATATAATGTTGAGATATTATTTCAAAATATTTATTGACATTATTTAATTGACATTTATTTTCAGGATTCCAATAACGAACGAGTTCACTTTAATCTTGGAATGTTGGCTATGGATGATCATGATAGTGGAAGTGCAGAAAGATGGTTTCGCAATGCTGTTGCTCTTAAAGAAGATTTTCGATCTGCGTTATTCAATCTGGCTCTTCTGTTAGCAGATGAACAACGTCCCCTTGAAGCTGCACCATTTTTAAATCAACTAGTTAGATTTCACCCGGACCACGTTAAAGGATTAATCCTTCTCGGTGATATTTACATAAATAATATAAAAGATTTGGATGCTGCTGAAAATGTAAGTTGCAAAAATAGTGGCTATAAATTATTTTAGATTTTTATATGTTATAAAAATACTAATTAATATTATTAAATGATTATAGTGTTATCGTAGAATACTGCAATTGGATCCAACAAACATTCAAGGTCTTCACAATTTATGTGTTGTAATGGTGGAACGTGGTAAGTTAAGTTTAGCTGCCCAATGTCTGGAACGAGCAGCAGCTCTAGCACCCCATCAGGATTATGTGCACAGACACTTGGCTATTGTGAAAGCTCGTATCAGCAGACTACCTCCGGAGCAACGTGATGCAGAGGTATTCGACGATTCTTTTTGGCAAACTGGTCCCAATGAAAGAAACTTCAACATGGGAGACATTTCTAGCAGTAATAGTGTGGGAAGTAATAGTGGCACAGGTGGTCTTGGCAATATGGAAAATAGTGATAGCCAGTTTTTAGGCAAAACGGATTTTGTTTTCTCGAATCACCATAATCATATAGGTCATAAGAAAAGCAGCTCAGACTCAATGAATAACCATATTGTGCATCTGAAAAATCCATCAAAACCTGCAAGAATTCCACTGAATGAAGTGAAATCGGACGTGAAGGACACATACATCGATCACAATAAGTCGTTGAAGTCGGGTGTAAATCCGAACAACCAGCAAAAATTTTCATCTAGGAAAGATTTTGGTAAAAGCATGAGTTCAGATGCAACGGAATTGACAATCGACCGAGAACGTGCAACTAAAAAGATTAATTCGGAGAAGTTCGATAGGGCAACACCGCCATTTTTAACTGACGGGAAGCATGCTGGAACTACACGTCAAAAGGACACCGCACTTTCATAGTACTGACATTTGAAAATCGCGCCGAATATTGTATAAAGTTATATTCTACATATAACAAAAAAATATGGTGGTACAGTCGTATAGAGCTAATGTGTGAATATAAAATAAATACAGAGTATTGTTTTATATGCTGTACGAATAGAACGTTTTGTAAAATATATTTAAAAAATGTCCATTTGTTTGGTTTTGTCTTTACAATTCATTCGTGTAAATGGAGCTTATCTCTGTTTGCAAATTATGATTCCTCATTCTACCTTGAAAGATTCGTGTACTAAACTTGATTAAGTTTTATCTTTTTAATTAATTTCAAATAAAAATAATTAAGTATGATATCATAAAATATATCCTAGGATAATTACTTATGTACATTTTGATTTTATATTAACAAAATTAAGATTAACAAACAAATTTGTTAAATAGAGATAAGGATGACTATTCTCTAATTTTTCGTAGTTATTTTATACACTTCACATTTATAAAAATATTTATTACAAGTGAAAAATTTACTATTGAAGTGTCATATTGTGTTGCATTTGATATAACAAATATTTATATATAATGTGCTTAATGATTATTTTTTAGTAAATAATTATTTCTTCACAAGCTGGTAAGTATATGCATTAAACTATTTTCAATGATTCAAATTTATAATTATCAGTCTATGTCGTATGTATTTTATATTTTCCAAAATTCTTCGTTAGATTCTTCATCAGTCAAAACAAAAATAAATTTCAAAACTACGTTTTAAAAATTAATACAAGAAAATAATTTTAAATTAATGCAGTTTCACGTTTACCTTTTCAAGAGTTAGCTTTAAATTTAGGTTTCTACAATTGTAAGCATAATCATCTACAATAGCGTGAATAACAATAGTAATAATAGGCAGTAATGACAGATAATAAAATGTGATAACTAAAAGAATATACATCGCTCCCTCAATTTATGCGAATCTCCTTTTTACGCGGTAAATTATAACAATTTATGCGGTCGGACCACGTTATCTGGTCAAGACTTTTATAAACAATTGGCTGCCGGAGGACATCTCTTGGGATAAGCGGCAAAGATGAAAGAAAAGTCTAACTGTCGAGACCTGCGAACGAACGGATAGCTTTACCCCATTATTGACAGATTTTATTTACACGATTTTTATTCGCGTAAAATGAATCCACGCGGAACGAATACTCCGCGTAATTTGCGGAACGAATGTAACTATAACCTTCTGTCAAAAGAGGGAAAGGAATAAGAACAAAGTAAAAATATAGAGTGTTTGCACATTTATATTCTCTGTTACCGATCTGCGTTAGTAGGGGCTGAGCTTATATGCAGATGGCTGATTTTAAATAAAGCAGAATAACTCTAATAATCAGAGGATTAAGTGTTGAACGTGTAGTCTTTCTCCCTTTTTTTTTTCATCTCCTTTTCTGTTCTTTTTTATTCTTCTCTCCTTCTACATTTCTTTTATCTTTAACGTGTTATTTCTGTTGCATCTTTTACTGTTTAACCTTAAGTTTTAAACCTATTGTTTTTTTTTTTTTTTACTTTTGTTTAAAAAGAAATTAAAAAGAAAAATGATGTTCAAGTGAGTGTAGAAAGACTTCAACATAGTGTACTAAAGATGTTACTGAAAAAGTAAATGCGTCCGTTGTAAATTGTAATTGTTCGGTATTTAAGTGTATATTTAAATTTTAAAGATATAAGGGTATTGTTAAATGAAAATAGAGTTTAATTATTTCGATAAACTGAATGAAATGAAGACAAATAAACAAAAAAAAAAAAAAGAAAAAGAATGCATTTTACGAATTATCCTTTTATGTTGATTGATTCTATTTGTCTCAATCACCGATGTCTGTGAAGAACATTTGTGCACCTATGATTACCAATTAAGGAAATACAAACATATGCATGAAAGAAGTATCAAAACAAAGTGAATGGGATCATTCAAGCAAATTCTAGTTATCAAATTCTTGTTAAAAAAAAGCCAATAAATAAGACAAACGATTGTCATTCAATGAAATAGATACGCATTTTGCACTCTAAAAGGATACAAATTTGATAAGAAAATAATTTTAAAAAAAGAGAGTGAAAATATGATTAAAACATTTATACATACAAGAGAATACATACAAGTTCAAAGAAATTCTCTTCATCATTACAATAAATCGAAGGATAACATTCCAAAATTACGCGAGCTAGTTTTTATATATTTAATAACATACGGAATAAATTTCAAATAATCATTTTAAATTGGTGTTTGAAGTATTTAATACGCATCAATTTTATATATTTGATATAATCAGTACAATCTATATAACTTAAATTTAGAAAATTCCAATTCGAAAAAAAATAGATACTCTTTAATATAAAAGTAGCATTAATTATTGTTTTATCGATGTATTTGGTGACTATACTATTGATTACGAACTTTTCTTCCTTTTCTTTTTTTTTTTTTTTCTTGAGATATTGAAATACAGTTTAAAATTTTATTAAAATAAAAGGTGTAAAGAAGCGTTAATTTTTATAATAAGGAATATTCTTATATACAATAATTATCATGTGTATAATTTTTCATTTCAAAAATATATCTTCACTTATAAAAGTTTTGTTGTTTCGTATTTTTCATTGATATGTAAAATTCAGTAGTAGAAATTACTTTAGATTGTTTGAAATGTTATCTTTCGATTAATATAATAATCGTAAATAAAAAGAAATCTATCAATTTGTGATACATGCGACATACGTATATATTTTTGCATGCATGTAAAATGTCTACACGCACGCATACTTTAACAATCTCTTTCTTATCAACATATAATAAGTAAGTGACTCTGTTTTATATTTTCTTTTACCACAAAATTCAGCTGTTATCATTTAGTTTCCGATAATGTTAAAATTATCTTCTATCGATCGAATTTAAAAACAGTGTGGTTATTTGAAGACGATGCAACATATTTTGATCTAATTTAAAAGAGAAATACCACAACAATTTGTGCGATCAAATTAAATGTTATCATCTGAAAAATTATAATTAAATAATATCTATGTTGCTGTAGAAAGTTATAGCAGCATATATTATCATAAGTTGTGAATTATTTCCCAGTATAATAATAACTATTAATATCATAGAACAAAAGTGATCATTACTTTTTTCTATGACGTTTTCTACTTAAATTTTTATTTACAAACTTCTTCCAAAAAGTATTACATACTATAAATGATTTTAAAAGTATATACTGTTTGAAACTTTCTTTTATTTACTGATACTCAGTGAATTAATTAAATTTTTTTAAATAAAAACAGAAATAAAGAAAAAAGTCATTTTATTTGATTTTTTACACAAAATTTTTCCTGAAAATCTTTTTCAAATAATCACTCACAAACTAACGAAAATATTAAAATTCATGGGAATAAATTTGAAAAGTTTCCACACCAAGACTTTAACATGGAAAGATTTACAGTACAAGATTCACATTTGCACAAATGATATCTAAAAATAGGTCGTTACTCGGCGACTGGTACGTGACAGCAACAGCATGGGGTATCATTATTGATAAGTTCTGATAAAGAAGTTAATAAAAGCGATTTAAATAGACACACTTGAGGATCCACTTATGATACTTGAATTTCGAGTTCACCCGTACAAGTGTTCACTTTTAAGCTTGATTCATTCAAATCTACATATTCAAAGATTACATCAATATTCTTTTTATTTCGGATAGATGTTGCAGTTCTTTGATATTTTTAATTTATTGATATTTGAATATCGCATTAATTTTATTATGATAGTACTGTACGTTATATTAATAGTACTACACGATATTAATGCTGTTATATCATTAATAATTTTTTTTTCTATAAGAATGATATGAGTATAATGAAAGCATTATTCTTATTACCTTTCTTTATGCATTCCTTCGTTCCTACAATTACTTTGAATTTCAATTTAAAAATATTTTAAATATTACTTTGCTTCTAGATGTCCGCAAATCAATTATACGCGCTCATGAGTTTAATGTTCCTGATAATGATTCTAATGCCGGTAGCAGAACATGCGCAATTAGATGTGTTTCAGTATGGCCAAAAGAGACAAGCTGTGACAGAAATGCAGCAATATTGTGGCCAAATTCTGTCAAGTACTTTACAAAAGATATGCGGTAGTGTTTACAATTCTCGATTTAAGAAAAGTAATCAAGGTAAGTGAATATATATCGAGAAATTATTTAGTTAAAAATAAAATTAAAGAAATGGTGAAGTTAAAAACATGGTTGGTACTATTGATTCATTAAAAATGGAGGGAAGTTATAATAATTTAAATTTTTTTATTTGAATTTTATATTCTCAACACATATTTAATTTTAATACAAATATTTAAAAAGTTGATTTTTTTCAGAAATAGATATAAACAATTATATGGCATTTAGTTATGATCAGCATCCGTATAAATCCATTAAGAATGCAAGAAAAATGATAAAATTTCGAAGGAACTCACGTGGTATTCACGAAGAATGTTGTTTAAAATCCTGTACAAAAGAAGAGTTACGTTCCTATTGCGCTACTCGTTAAGGAACCCTTGTTTTTAATTTGAAATGAAAAACTGAAATAATATCAAAGTATCACTTTTTTCCACTTCCTGGCAATATTATAATTTTCAATAATTTCTATATTTCTTACTTAACAAAAGTAATATATTATTCTATACGATCTGAGAGCTATTTAAAACTGTTAATTCGATTGATATTTTATTAAATTTTATGTGACAAAATAATTAAAATTTCTATTATTAATTGTGATTCTTTATTTTCATACGTAACATGCAAAAATTTATGAAATGATTTTCTAAATCAACTGAATATCTGTAACAACGAATAATAGATATGTGATATATATATATATATACACTTTTTTTTTCTTTTTTTTTTTATTTATATAAGAGATTATAATTATTGTATGATATTAATCTTTTTTAACCAAAAAGTATAGGACGATAACTTACTAATGGTCGTCAGCTTTAACTGCGTTAATTTCAATGACGAAGCACCTAAATATTAACTGTAAAATTTGATCTCATTTGTACTTAATCATGTATTGTATAAGACCAAATTTAATGTTAATAATTAAATATGTATTCATGTATCAATGTGTCTTTCTTTGAAGATATGCAAGAATTAAAAAAGAGGATAATAACAGTTAATAGGTTAGTTATAAATATATCATTTTGTACGAAATTGTACGCATAAATTATTTTTCGTATTTATGCGAAAAAAATAAAAAATTTTGTAAAAAATTAATATTCGTAAATCTTAATGTACTGTTAAGAATTGAATTATAATTTGTTTATATATTTTTTGTATATATTGTTATAATTAGGTTATATACGAATATGTAAAGAAATTTAAAAATTAATATGAATTAAATTTATGCGTACATTATATCACTTATTAGATACTATATATTAGTATTAATATATTATGTTTATTATATTCTATAGAAGAATTTTTTATAATAAATATAAAACACCTACAGGTGAAAGATTTTGTGAATTTTTATATTATGTGAATAAGTACTCAATAAATAATGGAGATAGAAGAAATTTATAGCCTTACAATTTTTCCACCAGTTACATCAAAATTTGCAGTTCAGTGGTCTAAAGATAACCATATATCCATCCTTACTGAAAAAGGAATTCATATATTTGTAAGTTTAATTTTACAATGTCAATGCTATATCTGTAATTAATATAATATATTTAATTATATTATCTTGTACAGGAACTGATACCTTCTCCAATGTCTCCTTGCTCAACTATAAAATTTTTTAGAACTTTCATTTATGCTCCATCAATATTTCCAACAGAGAATATATCTAACAATATAGAATCAAAAATTTGGAATATGCATCATGAAGTATTGTATTCATTTATAATGGAAGAGAGTTTAACTCCCAAACTATCTAATGTAAAAGAAATGATACCAAAAATAGTTGACTTGTTATGGTCACCACAAAATCTAATATGTCCAAGCAAATGTCTTATTGCAATTTTAACTTCAGCAGGTGCTGTTATGATTGCATATAAAATTTCTAGAAATTGGTATCCTGCATATGATTTATCTTCTGTACGCTATAATATTATGGAGCAAGAAATTAATTTCAAACTAAAAGAAAATATAAATAATCCAGCTTTATTTGAAACATTTAAAATTTGTATAAAAGCTTTACAAGCTTCTTGTTTTACTTGGAGTCAGCTTTTTGTAGATTTTGCATATCTTGCTGTTGCATATCTCAATGGTGATATAGTTTTTTATAAAATTCCAAGAATATCTGATTATAATGAGATAATAAACCCTAAAATTGCGGGGACAATAAGATTAAATGAATATGTAAAAATAAGTGCTTTACATTGGATTACAATTGATATAAAAAAACATTTAATCATTCTTGGATATTTGGATGGACGTATTTATGGTCTTAATGTTGAATACAATAATCAAAACCTTCAAGAGAAATTCATTGAAAAGTATTATAACTATACTGATCGTATTCCTATTAGTACAATAAGAATATTTCCACGAAATGACTTAAATATAAAGATTCTCATTACAAAGGGTAATTTTCTATTTTTATTATGCTTTATGGAAAATGGTACACTGAAAAGTATGCAACATTTACAATTAGAAGGTTTCATGATTTCAGGTAAGTAAAATAATATGAGTTATTATATAATTTACAAAAAAAATACCTTAGCAAATAAAGAAATTAATTATTTTTAGGAATGATTTGTATAAGCACAAATTATGCATTAGTCACAACAGAAAATGGCTCCATGTTTGCAATTAATACAGAAGAAGATCAGTTCTTGAAAATGAAAGTAAATAATAAATTATCGCAAGTTCATATGCGATATTTAGGCCTTGCACATTCTCCAAGTTCTGTAATTTTTATAAATATAACTACACCAAGCACTATATATGACCATTTAGTATTGAAGGAACCAACCAAAATACATATGTTTTGTTTCAAAAATAAGAACTGGAACCCATCATTTGTTTTAAATCAAACCAAACATGAAAGATTAGAACAACTTTGGGACTGTTTAGAAGCAATAAGGATAAAAGCAATTAGAGCATCAGATGCATCAACTGTATTGCCAAAAGTATCATTTAATTTGGAATCTTTATCTTTGCATGAATTGCGAATAGTAATGTGGACATCTGTAATGATGGAAATTTGTGAGAAAAGGAAAATGATTCAAGGAATAGGTAGTATTGCTGGAGAAATATCAGAAGCTCAACCTTTAATTTTTGTTCATACTGCTTGCAATTATCTTATGTATCTTGTAAGGAAATCTTTTTTGTCGGAACAACAGAAACTTTCTATGAGTTTATTAAAAATGTATTTAGAAGTATATTTGGCTGGAGAAGAAGATGAAAAAGTTACTCCACTATCCAAATGTGTTAGAGACATTTTAAAGAAAATATCCCACCTTAATTTAAACATTATTGAAACTTGCAATCTATGTGGTGAAATAATAAACGATCTTTCCTGGAAAGTTACCAAATGTTCACAAGGCCATATATTGCCTAGATGTGCTATTACTCTTTTACAAATAACTAGTGTGGAGTACAGAATATGTCCAATATGTGGTTTAATTTTTCATTCATGTTTGGATGAAGAATTTAGGGAAACGAGATGTCTTTTTTGCGATGTACCTGCACTTGAAGAAAACAGAATATTGGGCTCAAAATATTACGTGACAAAGGAAAAGAGTTTATCTAGACCACAAAATCATATCCTAGGTGCGTCAGAAGATCGAGAATTAGAGACGGTGAACGATGAATCCTAAAATATGAAACATTTTAAATATTTAAATCTAATAATATATGATCTATTTACTAATAGAATATTTATATGATAAAATATCTGCATATTTTTTATTGCAATTTTATAATTATTTGTAACTATTTATTATTAAATTATGTGTTTTCAAAAGTACCTAAATACAAATAGTTTTAAAACTTTTTTTCAGAAAATTTTTTGTTACGCATAATGTATATATTTGAATGTTAATTTTCTATTTATTTTAAATAAACAAATACAAAAGGATATTTGTGTTTGTCAGAGAAACCTTGTCAAATTCGTATACGTGTTAATAAATTATTTTATATTTAATACAGTTGTATACATTGAAATTCGTTACACGTTCTATCGTCAGAGGGCAGTAGAAAGATAACCGTATTTATCTCATTGTCAGTAAGAAAATAAATATAAGTTCCAAGTAATTATTGTATTCTTAAACGCATGTTTTCTCATTTAATTATATTTTTTTAGTCAATATAAATATAATAATTTGTGATGATTAGGATGTTGTATAAAATACGTCAGGTAAAAAGTTTTTTCTGAATTTGTTGTTTAACCAGATATTATACTATTTAAAACACGATATAATGTAAACTTATAAATACAAAATAGTAAAAGTAAAATATTATATATAAAAATTTGATAATTTGAATTTTTAAGCTTATTAAATATTATTTAAATTTTAAACAACTAATACTTAAAAGTAAAGAAAGCAATTTTGTATTCTTTTGTGAAACAAATAAGTCGTAATTTATCATGATTTTCGATATAAAACATTATAAAATTAAAATAATAATAATTTGTCTTTGAAATTAAGATAATCTAATTTAATATACATAATGAAAATATTTTATGTAAATTTGTAAGGAAAAGTTCTTATATAGTACCAGACTTATACAATTAATATTTGCATTAAAGATCATTTAAAAATTGTACTTGATATTTCTTTTGATTGATAAAGGTTATTATGTTTAAATAAAACTTGAAATAAAAATTGATAAGAAATAAATAAAGAATACATAGATGTATAATTGCCAAAATAAAAAATTTTGCAATATACATTATAATTTGTTCTTAAATTTACTATTTTTCTATTATTTTCATTATCGTGACATTCTTTACAGAAATAACATTGCAAAGAGGCAAATAAGAAATACATATAAATATTTTATTTGTTATGCCTATTATTGTTGCGATGTATTATAAGATAATATTCCTTAATATTTAAGAATTAAGGTAATTCAAATGATTAATGTAAGTAATAGTAGACCTAATTAAAGTAATAAAATTAAAACTCAAAATAATATAATTAACTGTTGATATGAATTTTCTTAATTTATTATTCTTAAACTATAAATATTTCCAAAAATATATGTAGTAATATAAATTTATTATTTTTGGGTTCTTCAATTAGAAAATAAAAATGTTTTATATTCCAGTTAAGGTCTAGGAGATTGTGAACTGTTTTATTAGCCATTATGTCTACTTGCAAGTGAGTATATAGAATAAAGAAAATAAGTCTTATATGCTAACATCTTAGATTATCAAACAAAAATTTTTAAAAAAGAAATAATAGATTTATTTATAATAAAAGTTTAATTTATATTAAATTTATTGAATTTGTTTAGATGATATTAATAAGATAATAGATGTGTGATATGTTTCATTTCAGAAGAGGTAGTAAAAAAAGATATTCACATCAGGCATCTGAAATAAATGAAGAAAATACTTCTATTCATTTGAAACATAGACTTGCAAAAATAAAGAAACTGCAAAAATCAATACGCTCATTATGTGATAATGATGACAGTTCCCCTGAAGACATACGACCTTTCTTTCTTAAATCTGTGAATTCACGTAAGCTAAATGCAAAAATTCTTTTCTAAATGAAAATTACAAAAAGTATAAACTGCCATAAATCAAAATAGTAGTTATAGAATGTATATTCATTCAACAGAAATTACTTTAAAATTATTTTCAGGTGATAATTCACTTGATAAATCATCTGATGAAGGTACTATTGATAAATCTATACAAAAAAAGAGATCTGTATCATCTAAGGAGAGTGAAAATGATTATGATAAGCAAAAGAAAACTGAAGAACATTTAAAGACTGATAAGCATAAAAACAATATGAAAAGTAAAAAAATTGATTATGATGATTTAAGAAAGAAGAAAAATAGAAGCAGAAATTCAGATTTTAGTGACTCAGAAAATGAAATCTATGAAAAGTTTACGAAAAAAACAGACAGAAGACATTTAGCATCAAAATCAAAACAAAAAGATTTCATGAATTTCTACAAGGAAGATGCAGACTCTAGTTCTGGCAAAGAATTTCAAAAATCAAACATTTTCCATAGTGGTTTGAAGATTATGAAAAAATTGTCTCAAGTTAAACAGAATAGTGAAACAATTGAAGAGTCAAATTCAGATTCTACTACACAATTGGGAAAAAAGATTATAATTAACAAAGAACAAAGTTTACAGTTCAAGTCTAATTTTGTTAAAATTTTTAATAAATTTAAGGAAGTTTGTTCAGAGTATGAGTTACAAATGGAACATGTAAAATCGAAATATTTTAAAAGAGAATTAATATATCAAGAATCAGCAAATAATATCATAAAAAAGTCAAAAAATGTGATCAATAGTCTTAGAAAGGAACTTGAGGCACAAGAAAAAGAGTTAACAAATTTTTATAAAAAATGGAATACAAATCATGAGCTACAAAGTACAGATCACGAAAATAATTCTTTAAGTGAAAATGAAATGATAAAAGAAACAGAAAATAAAGAAAAATCAGATAAATCAAGAAATAGTTCAAATGCAGCAAGCATAGTTTCGGAATGTGATAATGAAGAAATATTTTCTGATAATGAAACAACTATTGCAAAAACGAACATTGACAAAAACAAAAAGGATGAAGACTTAATAGTTGCTAAAATTTCAGGAAAAACAACGAGTGACAGTGAAAACAGCCATCAAAGTAACTCACCTATTTTAGGTACTAATAAAAGAAAAGGAATATCTAATAAAACTTGCAAAGATAATTTGGAAGTAACTAATAAAAATGAAAAATCATCTGAAGAATGTCAGATATCCATAAATGAACATAGTATAAACGAATCTGTAAATGACATATTTGAGGAAAATACAATTGAAAATATAGATATCATTGATAATATCAAAGAAAATAAAGATGAACATAAAAATGAAAATAATTTACAATCGAAAGATATTATAGAAAATAATGATAATACAGATGAAAATTCTTTAAGAAATGATGAATTAAATACACAGTTTAAAGATAATGATTCATATTTAATTGAGGTTGGAAAACCTAAATCAATTGTTTCTGAAGAAATTTCAGAGTTAATTGAAAAAGAAGAAAATAGCGTTTCGGATGAACTTGAGGACGAAGAACAAGCTAAAAAAGCAATGTTAGAATCAGATTCAGAAGTACCCACAAATGAAGAGTCATTAATTAAAAAATCTATTAAAAAATCCAAAATAAATGATAATTCAGACGAAAAAAACGCATTGCGATTGGAAGAAATACAGTTGGATAAAAAAGAAAACAAAAATAAAACAGAAAGTAATTCTCTTCATGAAAATAATTCATCAGAACAAGATGAAATTACTAAAGTAGAAGCTTGTGCTAAGCGCAATCTTCTTGAATCAAATTCAGATGACTCTATGAGCCCTTGTGACATTAAAAAGAGTTTAAATAAAAAGCATGATTCCAGTGATAATAGTGAAAATTCAAGCTCTGATAATGATAGTAAACTGAATGCTATAAGGACAGGTATTTCTTCAAAACAAAAGAAAGGTAAAAGTCAAAGTTTCGCCAAAGCCAAAATGGAATTGAATTCTGAACAACCAACACATTTGACTAAAATAAACTATGATGAATCAGATAAAAAATTAAAAATGTTTTCTCAAGTTGTTATTGAAAGATTACCAGAAAAAATTCTTAAAAAACATAAAAAAGCTTTAGAAAAATCACAACAATATTTAGAAAACAAAAAGCTTAAAAGGTATAAAACAAATAAATTGCTTTACATTAATTTTTGATAATAGTTACATAAATTATTTTTTGCAGTTTAATTGACTTGGATAGATTACAAAGAAATTGTAGTAGTACTAATGACTCAAGTCGAAGTCCCTTATTTAGAAAAGTGAAAAAGTCTAAAGTGAAAGAAGTAGAAGATTCTCTACTGGATCATTTAAAGAATGTGGAAGATGGGAAATTTCTTGAAAATACAGAAGAAGAATCTAATATGGAAAATGATGCTTCAAATCCAAAAACACAGGCTTGTATTCAAACTAATGAAGAATTAATAATAGAAGCAGATGCAGCTACAAAAAAAGTTCTTTTATGTTCTTCTGATTCAGACATTGGTAAACAAATTTCCTCTAAATTTAGAATCATGTTTAATTTAATAGCATCACTTATTAAAGTTTCATTTTTTAATTTTAATTTAAATGTATTCTAATTTAGGTGAACAAAAAGTTGCTTCTGAAAACAATGACAGTGAGGAGGAAGAAAATAAAATCAAGTTAAAGGATAATTCACAAAAGACAAGCAAAAAAGTAGAAAAAAAGGATAGTGATAAGGTAATAATTAAAATGGCAATACATTTTTTACATTAAAATCCTAATTAACTTCAGTATAATTAGGAAAATGATGAAGAATTGAAAAAAAATAAATGGAGACGAAACAAACTACTAACAATGAAGTTATCCTCGGACTCGGATACTGATAGTGCAAGGGAAAAATGGGATAAGAAACAAAAAGAGTTGGCGGAAAAGACGGAAGCAACTCATACGTAAGTTACTTAATACAGCTGTTAGATGAATCAATAATATATTAAATAAATTGTCAAATTTTTTTAAATAGTGAAAATTCTGCTGTCAAAGATGAAATTGTGAAACGTAAAAGAAGGAATCCTAGAAAAATTATGGATTCTGATTCAGATGTACAATTCTTAAATTCTGATACAGAGTCAAATAATTCTGTTATATTAGAGGATAACAAGTCTTCAGGTAGTGACTCATCAATAGGAAAGTCGAAAAAAGTACGTAAACGTAAAACGCATAAGTCATCTGATACGGACTCTTCAGTTACAGAAAAAAGGTATTTCCTATTACTTTTAAGAAGAAAATAATACTGTGCAAAAATTTGGGAAAATCAATGTTATTGACTTTGTAAGAACAATTAGAGACATCTTTAAAAAAGATATTTGGATATTAATATGTTGAAATGAATTTTTAGATATTTCCTTCGTTCTGTTCTTTATTTATGATTTTACTTTTTTTGGGATAAAATTTTATTCTAAATATTGTACAATAAATGGAGTTCTAACTTATTTAAAATAAAAGAAAAGTTAAACTAAATATAAATTATTTTCAATTATTTTTATACATTTTTTAGACTGATTATCAATTCTAAAATTAAATATTTCTTTCATCAAAGATAATAACTAGATCGTATTAAAATAATACTGTCTAGTACATGGTTTAAAATTTTTGCGAAGTGCTGTATATTTTTTCATATTTTATTTTTATGGTTTTTTTTTATATTAAATTATCAAGGAGTTTATGGTAATCTTTTGCATTGATTTATGTATCTTTAGGTCGAAACCAAAGAGGAGACGTATTAAAAATATGCCCAGTGATAGTGATGAAAATAGCGATAGCGATCAGATTACAAATTCTCAAGGAACACCTGGAAAGAAAGGTCGTAAAAATATCCGAAAAGTAATGAAAGATAAGCAAGTTACGGACGATACTAAGCAAGCTGCCAAAGAAGAGGAAGAGAGACTTAAACGTATTGCTGAGAGACAAAAATTGGTAAATGCACTTAATTAATATATAATTAATTTTTTACTTCACTGGTATGAAGGAAAATCATTTTTTGATATTTTGATATAGTACAATGAAATGTATGAAGCAAGGTTGGCTGGAGAAGAAAAACTAGATAAGTTAGTATTAGATTTTAATCCTGAAACAAAAGAGGAATTGGTAATTGTTCATAAAAACTTAGTAGTACGTTTGAAACCCCATCAAGCCAAAGGAATAAAATTCATGTGGGATGCGTGTTTTGAATCATTGGAAAGAATAAAGTCTTCTACTGGATCTGGGTGTATAATTGCACATTGTATGGGATTAGGTAAAACTCTTCAAGTAATTGCCTTGGTGCACACGCTTTTAACAAACGAAAAAACTGGTGTTAAAACAGTTATGGTTGTTTGTCCTTTGAGCACAGTACTTAATTGGTTAAACGAATTTAATTTATGGTTAAAGAATATAGAAAATAATGACATTGAAGTTTATGAAATGACTAAGTAAGTTCTATAGATATATTTTTAAGTAAATTTAAATAAATTTAATGATTAAAAAATAATATAACATTTGTTGATGAATTTGTTAAAGATTAAAGAAAAATATAGAACGAAAGTTTCAATTAGAAAGTTGGCAAAGAACTGGTGGTGTACTTCTTATTGGCTATGAAATGTTTAGAAATCTTACTGGCACAAATAATAGAATGAGAAAAAATATGAAAGAAGCAATTTTACGATACTTAATAGATCCTGGTCCAGATATGATAGTTTGTGATGAAGGACATTTATTAAAAAATGAAGATACTGCTCTTAGTAAATCCATAAACCGCATTAAAACATTACGAAGAATTGTTCTTACAGGAACACCACTTCAAAATAATTTGACAGAATGTAAATATTGATCGGTATTAAATAAATTTCCAAATAAGCAATTCATTTTTTATTTAACTAAGTTTTTTTAACTGATATATTACAGATCACTGCATGGTACAATTTGTGAAACCAAATCTTCTAGGAACAAAGAAGGAATTTCTAAACAGATTTGTGAATCCAATAACTAACGGTCAGTTTGATGATTCTACTGAATACGACGTTAAATTAATGAAAAAACGTGCATACGTTTTGCATAAAATGTTGAAGGGATGTGTGCAAAGATTTGATTATTCTGTATTAACACCCTTTTTGCCACCAAAACAGGAATATGTCATTTTTGTCAGTCTAACGAAAGTTCAAGTTAATTTGTATCAACATTATTTGGATAATTTTGCGAGGTATGTCAAATAGCACTTTGAAATTTTATCAAAATTTAATGTCCAATTTTCGTTTCAGACGGACACGCAGTGCTAGCGGGTCTCTTTTCGCAGATTTTCAAGCATTACAAAGAATATGGACGCATCCCATAGTTTTACAATTGAATGCAGAAAAAATTGAAAAGATGAATGAAAAGAGATTAGATTCTAGTGATTCTGAGGGTTCTTTAAAAGATTTTATTGATGATAGTGAAACAGATTCCACAACTAGTGAAACTAGCAGTAATAGTGATGATCAACTTCAAAACATTAATTCTAATGTTATAGGAAAAAATACAAGAAGTAATCCAAAAAATATTAAACCTGGTAAAAATTTACATAGATTAAAATAACTTATCATCATAAAATACTTTTTATATCTATTCATTCTTTATTCGTAATATCTTTAATATCATTATAAAATATTATTTTATATTTAGAAGTTGAAATAGTTTCGAAATCTGAAGAATCTGAAAAAAAAGAAGAGGAATGGTGGGCACAATTCATTCAATCTGAAAATTTGAAAGATATGAAAGTTTCTTCCAAATTGATACTTCTTTTTGGAATTTTAAAGGAATGTGAACAAATTGGAGATAAAGTGTATGTTTATTATATCACTTTGGAAAAGTCTGTAATAAGTAATATATAATTTTAAGAAAGTTATTAATTATTTTAGATTGGTGTTTTCACAGTCATTGTACTCCTTGACTCTAATTGAGCAGTTTCTTGAAAAAATTGATAATGAAACGCAAAACGGTACAAATTCAGAATATATTGATGGACATACTGGAAGTTGGTCATTTGGTTTGGATTATTTTCGATTAGATGGTCAAACATCTCCAGAGAATAGAAACACATGGTGTAAAATATTTAATGAACCATCAAATACAAGAGCAAGATTATTTTTAATTTCGACTCGAGCTGGTGGATTAGGAATTAATTTAACCGCTGCTAATCGTGTTATTATTTTTGATGCAAGTTGGAATCCATCACATGATATGCAAAGTATATTTCGTGTATACAGGTATGTATCCTAAAAATCATTGAAAAAATGTATATAATTATTGACATAATTTACAGATTTGGTCAAAAGAAACCGTGTTATGTTTATCGGTTTCTAGCTGCTGGAACAATGGAAGAAAAAATTTATAACCGACAAGTGACGAAACTATCGCTATCCTGTAGGGTTGTCGATGAGCAACAAATAGAACGTCATTATAGTAATCATGATTTAAGCGAATTGTATACATTTGAGCCAAATATAAATAATGGAGAAAAACCAACTTTGAATTTACCAAAAGATAGACTATTGGCAGAAATATTTTTGAAATATAAGAATTGTGTGGAGAATTATCATGAACATGATTCCCTTTTAGAAAATAAAGTAACGTTAGCTATATAAGACAATAATTTTTATTTGATAAAATAAGTTTTCTTTATAAATTTTTTTTAAATACAGGCAGAAGAAGAATTGAATGAAGAAGAAAGAAAACAAGCTTGGTTAGAATATGAAGAGGAAAAAAAAGGAAAACCACCACAAATACCATTATATCCATCAATGGCAACATTCCCAAATCATGTAATGTTAAATCAATATAATATACCATCAACGTTTAATATTTCTACAGATTTTGAAAAACTCAAGGAACTGCTTCGAAAGGATGTAAGAATACGACCTTACTGACCTATTAATAATTTAGACATATTGTTCACATTTATTAATTTATTATACCAATTTATATTTCATAGTACCCTAATGCAACTCCTGAAACTCAACAAATGATGACTACACGTGTATTGACAGATATGTATAGTTATTGGGAGCAACAAGCTTATCATAATTCTACAAATCGAATTATTGATCAGGTATTTGAATAATTTAAAAAAATTTTATTGATAATATGTAGATATAAAACATATTTTTATTTAAAATCTAACTATGATTTTATGAATTAGAATCCAAGTATGAATGCAATACAAATGAGAACTCAATTACCAAATTTGGCTCGAATGCCTTATGTCGTACAAAGTACAAGTAAAAATCTGATCAATCAACCGAAGGATTATAGAACTCCTGACATTAGATCTGAAGATCACGATGACGACGTTGTAGAAGTAATCTTTATAGATTAGTAAAGAATCAAAATTAAGTAAATTTTTGTGGAGTATACAACTTGCTCTTTAATTTCAGGTTACTTCAACTACAGTAAACAATAAAAACAAAAACCAAGAAGAATAAATGAAATAATAAAGGTAAAACAAATATTATTATGAACTTAAGAAACTCTAATGTAAAGTCCTGTATTGTTTTATATAGTATAGAAACACTTTGATATTTCATTATTATAATCGATTTTACCGTCATCCACATTTTTAGTATTTTATACTTATATTATGTAGTATCAGTATTGATATAATACAGTGTTACTGTTGCTACGACCATAAATTATTATGAATATATTATTTGGATAATGACAATTTTTATTTAATTTTTATGTTTTTATTGACTATGTATTAGCATATCTATAAACTGTATATTCATACAAATATAATTATGAGTATGTCAATCTTTTCTATGTTGTGCACTAATTAACAAAATTTTTATACCAACCTAAAATACTATACAATATTGATTTAATATGTATAGAACTCATTTTACATTAATTTATCATCAATAAACTCATATCAGACAAATAAATGTGAAATGTAAATTCTCCATTATATATAAAAATTATAAATTTTATTTAAGTTTGCAAATCTATTAAGTTATTTATAATAAAATAATTAGTAAGTATGATTACAATTTAAAAATTAGATTGCAATAAAATTTGTAATTTTTTCTTTATTTTGATATACTTTTTAAAGGATGCTACATTTCGATTTTCACCTTTGTCGTTATGATGATCATACAGTTCCTCTGCAATAATATCATTCCAATCTGGTAATTTGGTTTCAGGTTTAAATGTTACCCAAGCCGTATAACGATACTTATTTGTTCTCAGTGTATATCCCATTGCTTTAATTTCTTTTAAACGTGGTTCGTCGCTATTTGGATGGATCGAAGGTTTAATACTTGGTCTTGGGTATTGTCCAAATGCTGCCTTTTTCCATAATATTGACTAGAAATTATTAAATACTATTGTTCAAGATATATAGCAATTTCATTTATTATTAAAATTGTGAAATGTAAATTTTTAAATCAATGGTACCTCCTTTTTTAAAGCAGCTCTTATAAGTGGCATAAAAGAAATTCCTTCACTACAAGTAATTTCTATATATTTATTTGAACAAACAGGTATTGAAATATTTGCTAAATCTGCAATTGTTGGGAAGATATCAACTAATTCTACTATTGAATTTATGAATATTTGATTCTTTTCTGATGAATTATTTGTATTCATTTTTTCTTTTGATTTCTGATATGTAAGCTCAGGTATTGATATTATTAATGGTACTTTTAGGGCAACATCATAGTTGCTATATTTTGCCCATACTGCATGCTCTCCTAATGACCAGCCTATGTAAAGATTAGTTGAAAAATTACATTATTAATTAATAATTTAAGAAGCATAGCAAACTTCAATTGCTTTAATTATTTAAAAATTGTATAACTCACCATGGTCAGACATTAAAATAATAGTAGTATTTTCTCGAAATTCTAAAACTTTCAAATGATTTATTAATTTGCCTATTAAGTCATCAATATATGTTACAGATGCATAATATGACTGGATAATTAATCTAGCAAAGTTTTCTAAAATTTAAGAAAGAATAAATACAATATTTTTGTATATTGCAAGAAAATAAATTAATTCTCACATATTATTATAACAGTACTTGGTATCTTTTCCCATGGAAATTTAAGATTCAAAGCTGTAATATCTTTTCGTTTCCTTAGATCATTCCATGGATTATAAGCTATGCTATTAACATTTTCTAGCCACCTATATGGCCTCGGCACTTCAAACTTTTGCAAAGAATGATGTCCTGCAAAATATTTTTTATAAAAATAGTACTTTGAATTAAAAATCATTACGATTGTGATAAGTAATGGTAATGGTTAAATATACTTAAGTATTTTTGGGGATATTTAAACGGTATATGTGGTTTTTGAAATCCAACCGCTAAAAAGAAAGGACTAGTATTTTCTACTTGATTAGATAAAAAATGTTTAGCTTCCTTCAGTATTTCTATATCTGGTAATGTTTTATTAGGCATTAATGAAATTTTAACTGGACATACCTAAAAACATTTAAAAACATTTTTAGATGTTATCAAATATTAATGTCTCTTTCATGTTTTTTAATTTTTAAATGTTAATTTGCTATATTAAATATTACAAGATTCTGTGCAGGTAGTATTCGCATATTTGTTTGACATACTGGAGCATCTTTATATCTTTCTGTAAATGGGTGAAACGGAGTTTCTGACCATGAATATGGGTTATCATCAGAATTATTGGAACTAATTCCTGTGGAACATACAACTAAAATTAGGTAAAATAACTCATATTTGTATAATGCATTATAAAAGCCAGAGACCTGGATGGAAAACTTTTCCTATTGATTTAGTAATATATCCATTATCCTTCAAATATTGAGGTAATGTCGTAAAATTACCAATATCAGTTCGCCAGTAGCTATAGAAATCGTAAAGGTGAATTGTATCTGGTCTCCGACTCGTTAAAAATGAATTTCTGCTTGGTGCACATAATGCTTGCTAAAAAAAATTTATTTAATATGCTTATATTTTTTTTTCATTTTATATATAAATTGTGCGTTTTAAAATTTTTTAATTTGATGCTAACCTGAGCGAATGCTTGGGAGAAAATGGCAGCATCTTTTGCTAAACCATCTATATTTGGCGTGTATGCTTTATCGTCACCATAACATCCCAAAGTGGTTCTTAAATCGTCAACGATTATTAGAAGAAAATTTTGCTTCTGAGTAGCACACCAGGCGATTAAATTTATAAAATATAACATTATAAACATCATTAATTACACTAAACGATGTAATCGTATCAGTATAAACGATAATTTTGTTTAAACTGTGATGGAATAATACTTTTTACTAGTAGTAGTATTTATAATACTAGTATTTTTTATATATAAAATAAAATTTTTAACAAGTAATATTTATAAAATAAAATAATGTAGTTGATTATTTTCACATGCTTTTAAAATACAAAAATAATGAAGTATTCTGTATTTAATAAAACCTCTATTTCAACTTACTATTGCACTTTATTTTTTATTGTACAGACATATAAATGAAAATGCTATGCAATGCTTATATATCTACAATATCTACTACAATAACTACAACATGATCTAACATAAATTACATTAAAATAATACAGTAATATAAAATAGTAAAAATTAGTATGGAAAGTCAAGAGTTTTATATAACATGCACACAAATTACTGTAGTGAATGTTTCTCTCTTGTTTTTCAAGAACTTTATTCTTAAATTTGCCATACTAGGCTTGTCAATCTACGACATTGTATTTTTACTTTGCATTTACTGTTGTATTAATTGAATATTTATTTTAATTTTTTTAATTTGTTTGAGTTGCTTTTCATATCTTCATTTTAAGCATAAACATTACAAATGAGTTGATTCAACATTTACTTTGAATAATACCTGTAATAATTTTTTTATTAAAATAACAGCAGTAAGATATAAAACATTGAAACATAAATATGTTTATAAAAAATAATATCATTTTCAATTTTATTTATTATAATTTTCAAATGTAATAATGTTTTTTAAATAGAAAATAATTTTTGTTTAATTATTTTAAGCTATGAAATTTTTATCATTTAATTTTTTTACTGAAATAATTAAAAATTGTGAGAAAACAACTCTGATAACCTAAAAGTTATCCTTCTATTATACATTCCTATGATTCAAAGTTATAATGACAAAGATTTGAGTAGTTAACAAGGGCCACCCCTCTTGAAATCAGTAGTAAAAGTGTAATAAAAAGTGACTAGTTAAAGATAAAGAATAAAATGCAAACACATCATTGTTTGTAAAGAGGGAGGAACAATAATTTGCTTTATAATTCAAATATTTGCGGCCCCAGTAAAGTACTCTGATTCATTGCTACAATTATTTACCCTCACATTTACGATACCAACTTATCTCAAGTCAATCCCGTGCCTCCTTCTTAACAAGTGATGGTGATCTTTGATCATTAGTACTTATTGTACAGTCATTTACATTAATATTATTCTTTGCTTTAAAGTCAGTCTTAAAATTTGCTTGTGGGTTAGTAGTATCATCTTTAAATATTTCAGTATAATGAAAACTACTCCCATTCCCAGTCTTTGTATTTATGCTAGCATTATTGCCAGTGCTATTTGAGTGTACTTCAGTGAAATGCTTGTACAGCATTACGGTAGTATTAAACTCTGTTTCACACCCAGGAATTTTGCAACTGCAACATATTTTGCTTTAATAATCTGTCATAACAGTTTTCTAGTAACAAATTTAATGTTTACAGTTAATATAATATAGAGTGCTAGTGCAATTACAATATTAACTGTGAAGCACAAACAATTAACTATACAAACTTACCGAAATGATTCATTATTTTTAGTTCCTTGTACTATTGGCAGTTTTGAATTAGCATGATTGTCCTGGTAATGTTTCCATAAACCAGTTACATTGTTCACTTGAGCCCCACAGCCAGGAATTTTACATCTACAAAATATGTAATAAATTCGAATATAAAAATTTTGGCTGTATTTAAAGTAATAGTAATCATCTGAGATAAAAAGAATACAACATAAACTAAAATTTTACATACAATAAATTATATAAAATATAAAGAATCGTAAAGGATACATATCTATCTATCTCTGTATATAAAAAATCAAATCAATTATAATTTCTATTACTATATACTAATATTTTTAAACTTACAAGAAAAAACTAACTGTTGAGGCTTTCCCTTGTTTTAATTTCAATATTGATTTGTTAGAATTTGAGCTAATTGTATTATTTGCTAATTTGTGACTATCTTGATGATGACGATAATGGGATATGTATTTATATTTTCTCCCACAACCATTAACTGCACATTTGTAAATTTCTTGCTTATACCTAGACATACGTTGTTTTTTTGGAGTATATTCTTCATCATCTGAACAATTACTGTTCGTTTCTATAGTAATTTCTTCAGTTTTTGGAATATCATGATCGAGTTCATTTCTGAAGATTCTTTCTAAATTATCTAATTCAATTCTATGCTCTTGATTTCTTGGATTCGTACTACATATTTCATTTTTTGTATTTTTTGTAATGGTAATATCACCATTTACATAAACTACATTAGTTTTTTCTTGGGAATGTTCAGTTTGCAGTTCTGGGCATTTGCTTGTATTACTCTCATATTTGGATAGAAAATTCTCTGTATTTAGAATTAAATTTTCATTTATAGGAAATGTACCAGCTTCATTTAGTGACTCACTAGTGGAAGAATAATCTTCCTTTGAACTATCATTTGTAGTATTTGGATCATGAGGGATTTCGTTTTTTTGTTGTTGTACATTATCACCTCTAAGAAGATTTTGCTCATTATTATCATCATATTGGCATACTTTCATTCCAAAAGCTTCATTTGTTCTCTTTTCATAACATTCTTCTGTGCTTTGTACAATTTCCTCATCCATTACATTTTCAGGATCTTCAAAGCATATTACTTCTGGTTCAGTTGGCAATGTTGGTGGCTGTCTATGGCAGTTTTCGATATGTTCTTCTAGACTGATACTAGTTGTATGTAAAGATCCACAATTTGTGTATGGACATATAAATACATTTGTTTCATTATTATGCCATTCTTGATAATGGCGCCACATACTTCCAGGATCAGAGAGTTCTTCTCCACATCCTGGCTCTCGACAACTAATAACAGTAATAAAATTTAATTATTACAATTATATTATATTATTATTATAGTATAATATTGTATATTTATAATATAATATTGTA